ACTGGCAGCAGCTGTTCATGGTATCAAGTGGAGGTCTTTCCCATCACCTACTGCCTGGTCCTTTTAACTAGAGATGCCGGGGATTGAACCTGGGACCTTCTGCATGCCAAGCAGAGGCTCTGCCACTGAGTCACAGCCTCTCCCCAAACTGACCCTTAGTCCATCAAAGTCAGTATTGTCTACTCAGACTGGCAGCAGCTCTCCAGAATCTTTCCCATCACCTCCTGCCTGGTCCTTTTAACCGGAGGTGCCAGGGGTTGAACCTGGGACTTTATGCATGCCAAGCAGAGGCTCTGCCACTGAGCCACAGCCCTGTGTTTCGGGGCTGCGTGCATTTCCCTGGGAACTCTTAAGACGGTTTGTCCTTGTATCTCTTGATTCCCGGCTGCGAGTAGAAAACGTAGGGATATTTTGTGAATGAAGCAGGAGCCATTAACTCTCTTGGCGTAATGCTGTTGATGCAGCTAATGTCTCGATATTGATTTGATATTTCTCTCTCTCAAAGTCTAATATGAATGGCCTTCATAATATCCTGTGGCAGAGTGTTCTGCTGGCGAATTGTTGCGCCCGGCAAATAAATAAGGTGGCCTGCTTTCCGTTTGCCAAGTAAGTGGACCTGCAGGCAGAAGGGGTGTCTGTGTATGTCTTCAAAGGCTTGGGGGTCTCAAAAGGAAATGGTGCTGGTGGCCTTTTGGTTTCCAAATGCAGTAGGAAAAGGGGATTAGAGAGGTTCATGGAGGAGAGGTCCATCACTGGCTACTGGCCATAGTGACAAAAGAGAGCCTCCACATTCAGAGGCAGTCAGCCTCTGAATCCCAGAGCCAGGAGGCCACATCCTTGGCCTCTATGCCTTGTTGGCCCTCCAGAGGAACTGGTTGGCCCCTGTGTGAGACAGGATGCTGGAGTAGATGGACCACTGGCCTGACCCAGCAGGGCTCTTCTGATGTTCTTATAAAGGCCTCGGCCTCTATGCTCTGTTGTTGGCCCTCCAGAGGAACTGGTTGGCCATTGTGTGAGGCAGGATGCTGGACTAGATGGACCACTGGCCTGATCCAGCAGGGCTCTTCTTCTGTTCTAAGACCCAGCATGAGATGCACTGACTCAGTCGAGGAATCCACGGCCTTCAGTTCACGAGACCTGATCAAGGCTGTTAATGAAAGGATGTTTTGGAGAATGTTAATTCATGGGGTCATCATAAGTCCGAAGCAACCTGAGGGCACGTAGGGCACATACCATTCACTGTGCTTAAGTGTGCGGACTCTAATCTGGGTGAACCGGGTTTGATTCCCCACTCCTCCACTTGCACCTGCTGGATGGCCTGCGGCAAGCCATAGTTCTGTCAGAGCTGTTCTTGAAAAGAGCAGTTCTCTCAGAGCTCTCTCAGCCCCACCTACCTCACCGGGTGTCTGTTGTAGGGAGGGGAAGGGAGAGGAGTTTGTAAACCACTCTGAGACTCTGAGTGAAGGGCGGGGTATAAATCCAATCTCCTCCTCCTCCTCCTCCTTCCCTGATTTCCTTTTTACTATCAGTGATGCTTGGACAGCCTGTGGTTATTCCATGTTGGAAAGTTCTCCACTGCACATGCTCAGGAACAGTCTCACCCTTGAAATTATTTGCTTGGCCGAGAGCAGAGCCACGCCACGCCTTAAACCCCGACCTTAGAGACCAGCCACTTGGCTGCATCCGGGCTTCCTTTTGAAAGGGAATCTGGGCATACAGGCTGGTTTTATGTAAGCCGCCCTTGGCTGGGAGGGCGGGGTGTAAATGTGAGAAATAAATAAATAAATAAACTTTCCCCTTCTGTGTCAGTGGGAGAAAGCAAAGCCCTAGCATCTGGGAGACATACCCTTATTGTCGCCTACCTCACATAGTTGTTGTGAGGATAAAATGGAGGATGGGAGAATTATGGAAGCCGGCTGGGGTCCCCATTAGGGAAAAAGTGGAGTATAAGCAAAGTGCTGGAGACCACACTGGTGGACCTCCTGATGGCACCTGGTATTTTGGCCACTGTGTGATACAGAGTGTTGGACTGGATGGGCCTTTGGCCTGATCCAACATTGGCGCCTCTTATGTTCTTATGTTCACACCAAAAAGCCCCTTGCCTTTCCCTCTTGTTATTGAACCGAATTCAATTGGTAGAAATGCATGTCAGCTTCTGATTCCCATAGTTCTTTTCCTCGGAAGAGTTCTGCCGCTCTCAAAGGCCTGCACGCTCCTCCTCCCAACGCTCATCAACTCAATCAAAATGCAATTCTGGCGACTTTGTATCTCGCCAAGAAGCTGTTTCGTTAATAATCTATAGCAATTTTAAGATGCAAAGTGCTGAGCTGGTTGTAGCGGCTTCTGAAAACAACTTGCGTCTGACATCATCCTGTTGATCCGTCAGGATTTGTATCATGTCAATGGCTGGGGGACAGGCAGAAGTCCCAAAGGTGCAGCTTTCCCTGGGCACACATAGGCTGAGACGCTTAACTTTGGCTTCTCATGTAGCTGTTCAGAGGAACCAAAGCTTTGCTAGGGGGGGAAATGCAAGCGACTTGGGTCACATTCCCTTTAGGGCTAACGGGAAATAGTTTGGTTCAGGTGGGTAGCCATGTTGCTCTGAAGGATAAAAAGGTAAAGGTTCCCTTGCTCGAAAGCCAGTCGAGTCCAACTCTAGGGTTGCGGTGCTCATAACAGTGTTCCGTGCGCCTTGGTGTTTAGTCATGCCGGCCACATGACCACGGAAACGTCTTTGGACAGCGCTGGCTCTTCGGCTTGGAAACGGAGATGAGCGCCGCACTGAAGGATACAGCATCATAATTAGCATACAGCCTAATGGCAGGGTCTCAATTAATTCTCAATTAATTACTCTCAGCATCCCACAATTAAGGGTACATCTGCCCATCAATCTCCGATTTTGACATATTTATTTCCTTCACTGTGTTTCCCCGGGAATTAAACCCAAACAAATGGTAACCATATAAACTGTTAAAACACCTTCATTATGCTGTATGCTAATATTCTGCTCACCCTCTACCTATAGGCATGGACTGGTAACTTCCATTTCATTGCATCTGAGGAAGTGTGCGTGTGCGCACGAAAGCTTCTACCTCAAATAAAACCGTGCTGGTCTTAAAGGTGCCACCGGACTCAGACTTCGTTCGGGAAATTGTTGGGCGCGGCCAGTTCCCCAAACTGTCTCTATCAGAGAGCTTCCTTTCCGGACTGGCGACTTTCTGCTGTACTGACACAGCGATAGATAGTCCATTTGGGTCCCTGCCCTGACTGGTTAATTACTGTTAGGTGGCATGGTGCCCCAGGAAGTTGGCTGGCACAGTGTGAGCGGGCAGGGCCTTAGGAGCCGCTGGGGATTTCTCCAGCACCATACCCATTCACCAGCCGTTGGCTGGCTCTGGCATTGCCCCCCTGCACAGGAGGACTTCCTGGTGGATCGTGCCCGCTGGAGTCAGCCCGCCGCCATCCTGAAAGATGCCCTGATGTTACCCCAGAAGAGGTTGCCTGGGCCCTGCCAGTGTTCCCTCTCAGCTGAGTTAGTGTGAGCCAGCTCACAGGTTTTTAGCCTCCGGCTCACACATTTTTGTCTAAGCTCAGGAAGGATGTGGCTCCAGAGCAAGGAACTGATGCAGCAACCAACTCGCTCGCTCACAACTTTAACGCCAGTGGCTCACAAAGTAGAATCTTTGCTCACAAGACTCCACAGCTTAGAGGGAGCAAATTCCCAGCCCCGGCTGCTTCCCAAACCCCCAAATGTGTTGCCGGTCTCCTTCCTCCCCTCGCCCTCCCCACATGCTGCCTTCTATAAATAATTCTGCTGACTCCCTCGGAAACCCTCTTTGTCATTTATCTACCTCTGTTCGTTTGCACCTGGAGGGGGTGGGGAGAGGAGAGGCAACATCTTGTTGAGTCCCCCGTCGTCAACGTTAGCCTCAATGGTGCCCTTTCCTTTTTCTTTGCATCCTCTCCCCTGGAAGGGGGTGGGTGGGTGGGCATCTTTCCTCTCTAGGGGGGCAGTGCCCCCTCCCCTCCTGTCGGGGCGGGAGCGCGTGCACGTGGACCCGGGAGCCTTCGATCCGGAGTCCGTATCTTCTTTCATCTCCTGACTCCGGCTCCCCGAACGCGCTCGGAGCGCGTCTCCTCTCCGGAATTTCCCGTTCGCCGATTCTCCTCTCCTCCCTTTTTTCCTCTCTCTCTCTCTCTTTCTGCCTCTCTCTCTCTCAAAAAAATTGCCCTCCCCTCCTTATTCCCATTCTTTTGCCTTCCTCGCTGGAGTTATTCATTGCTCGGCTTTTGCGGGAGGAGGAGGAGGGGGGGGGGCGGCACCAAAGCGCAAAACCCGACCAAAGAGGAGGAAGCCGGAGAGAGCCAGCAAGCAAGCAAGCAAGCAAGGGGGGGCCTTGCATTGCATTGCATTGCATGGGCTGCCAGTGAATTTTTGCTCTCCCCCCCCCCCCCCCCCCGCGCCCCCGCCGCCCGCCGCGCTCGCCTGCCTTGCAGCGCTCACTTTCTGCGCCTCCTGGCCGCGCCCCCCCAACACCACCCCGGAGGCAGCCACACCGGCCGGAGGCAACGTGGATGACACTTCCCCCTGGCGCTCCGGGAGCAAGCGGGCTGTGTGTGTGTGGGGTGTGGGGGGGTCTGCCCCCCTCCCCTCCTTTCCCTCGCTTGCAACCACGCCCCCCCCCCCAAGAAGGCAGAAGAGATGCAGCCGCGCCCCCCCCAGACCGTCTCCACACCTCCTCCCCGGGACCTGGGCGCGCGCCTCAAACTTTCCGGATCGACCCCGAAGCAGCTGGGGAAATGAGGATTTATAAAACTTTGGCGTCGACCGCCCGGATCGAGCTCTAGCCGCCGCCCCCCGGCCCCAGCGCGCCTTCTTCCTTTTCTTCTTCTTGCACCCCCCCCCAAAAAAAGAAACCCCAACAGCCCCCGAGTGTCTGGGTCGCTGCTGCTCCTTGGCATTTGTGCCTCCGCTTGTCAAAGAAGGGAAAACAAAGGCGAGAAGGAGCCCGAAGAGGCGAAGGCGACCGAGGGGGGGGGGACTTGGAAGCGGGGGTCTCCCGGGCGCAGCCATGGCTCCGGGGGGCTCCTGGGTCGGCTTCTCGATCGGGCTCCTCTTCTCCTTGCTGGAACTCTGGTTTATCGAAGGGCTGAGCCTGGAGCCCATCTACTGGAACACCTCCAACAAAAAGTAAGTCTGCTGCCTGCAAGGATAATTGGGGGGCAGAGGAATTCGAAGGCTCGCCTCTACAAAAAAATACAAATAAATTCCTCCTGGGTTCTCTCGTTGCAAAGCGTTGCAACAAACGAGAGAAGAGCCGGGGGTTTTTTTTGGGGGGGGAGACAGGAAAAATAATAACCGTTCGCTGGTTTTGAAACGGTGGGGCTGTGTTTTGGTGCGAGGAGTCAGGGGAAGGACACTTTGAGCCACCAAGAAGTTTATCTCCGGACCCAGTGCTAAAAATTTGATACATTTCCTTTTTTGGCGTGGGTGGGTGCGCGAACTTTTGTAATGTTTCCTCCTTCCCCTTTTTTTATTTGGGGGGGGGGACAGAGAGGGAGGGGGAGACTACATGGGGAAGTTAATTCTCGGGTTTGGATTGAAGAGGTGCTTTCCAAAGAAACAACTCAGAATATTCATGGTGTCGATCCCTGCCTGTCTTGCTCCTCACCCCCATTTGCATTTTGGTTTCCTTCCCTTTCCCCCATTCCCAAGTGTGGCTCTCCACCTTTCCCTGGAGAAACAGTTCAGTGGGTGAGTGGCCAGGTCGGGAGGGTGATTTCTGCAAGGGGGAGGCCAGCACACCACCTCCCCCAGCTTGTGTGTAAAAGGGCTGCTCCGACCACCTGGAAAAGTTAGTTTGCGGAGCAGACTCCCCTGTCTATTTAACTGGAAAAGGGACCCTGTTGATTTCAGTAAAATTCCCAATTGAGTATGGAGGATAATAAAGCTGGTGGGATTCTACTCCCAGGTTAGTGTGCATATGTGTTGGCAATAATTTAAACCAATGATTTTGGAGAATTAAGCGTGACATAGAACGTGGGGTCTTGGGTGTGTTTGCATGGCCTTTCTCAGACTAGCTGCTGGTAAGGCAAATTGTGGAAATGGATCTTGTGTGCCAGGGCGGTGGTTTCCACTTTGGGTCTTGGGAGGGCCTGTGCAGGTGGCTCCCTGGGATTGTCTGTGGCTCCCTGACTTTTTGATCTTTGTGTGTTTCCGTCTCTCTCCCATTGACGTTGTGTCTAGTCCGCCTTTCTCTTGCTGAGGCTCAAGGCGGATTACAGGGTGTAAATCAACAGGATCCAGGGGATGAGAGATCCAAGAAACAATGCCGTAGGGTCTGGATTACAGAGAACCGAAAACAGGCAGGAATTTGAAACAGACCTCTTCCCTCCGCCGCCTTCTTTTGTATGTGTGGATTTTTTCTTTAAATTAAATTTAAATGCACAAACCTTTTAGAGTATAACCCAGAGGGAGGTTCTCTTCTGCGGGCTGCATTTGAAATCGATGGGAGTTGTGGAAGTAACTTCTTGGCTTTCCTTTCCTTAAACCTTAATGTGTGTGCGCACACACACACACACACACAGACCCATTTTTCCAGATCAGAGCTTTAATAGGTCAAACTAAGAAGATTTTTTCCCCCTCCACGGCCTTTCCTTTAGCTGGAGTTTGCATGCCTGGCCATTTCCCCTTGTGGTGCTGGCGGTATTCTAAAGATGGGATGATCGCATCCAATCCTCTTCCTTACCCAGAGTCTCGCGCAGAGACACACACACACACACAACACACACAGCTCTGCTCCAGCCCAGAAATGACTCCATCTGTTAACAATTGTGGTTAAACCCCCAATAACTTCTGAAATCTAAGCCCCTCCGTACACATTTCTCTAAAGGCGAGAGGGGGAAAGGAGGCCGAACTGGAATAATGTATTTGGGACCTGGGATTCGAGATTACATCATTTCTTTTTTAAAAGTAGCATTGGGGGGGGGGGAAGGTTGCTAGCTTTTGGGGAGGGGGCTCGGGTGTTAGTTGTTTGTCAGAAAACCTCGCACACATCAAAACTGTGATTCATAAGTGCCACAATTTGTGCTCTTGTCGCCATGTGAAGAGAGCGCTTCCTAGCAACAGAAATATATATTAGAGCTTAATAGGTCTATTTGCCTAAATCATGGTGCGTGTGAGCGAGAGAGTGCGTGTTTTTCCCCTCTTTTCTTACCTTCTCCCCCTCCCTTCTTCCCTTCACCTTAACAATCTCCTTAAACTGCGGGGGGGGGGGGGGATAATATTTCCTTCCTCCCTCACGCTTTGACTACATGTAATATAATAGAAACAGAGCGACGGGCTCTCCCAATTAATATTTTTTTTAACTGATTGATTTGGTTTTAGAGGGAGACCCTCCCGGCTGGGGCCCCCCTTGCTCTCTCAGTGCATTGTGGGAGACAGTAATTGGGGGGGCGTGTGATCTGGGGTGCAATCCATGGGGGGAGTTGTCTGGTACACACCCCACTAAAATGAAAAGGGAAACGTGCCAATGTGGATCCCTTGTACATTTCATCAGGGGGTGCGCCAGAGAACTTCCTGCATAATTGTGCCCCCCCCCAAAAAGAAAACATTCTAGTGCACAAATCTTTCTTGAATTTGAAACCTGGTTGTTTCCCGGCCTTTTTTTTGGGGGGGGGAGGTGTACTGTGATGTTGGGATTTCATGTTGTGGGCAAAGTTCCAGTGAGAGGGGGAAGAGTACCCGATTTGGGTTTGTCCCTTTGGAAGAAAAAGATGGGTCAGGCTGGAGGGTGCAGAAACCTTACTTGTGGGTCAGAGGAGGGGGGTGGCATAGCCATCTCCCCCCCCCCTCAAGTTTCTGCATACTCTAGAAGCTTTGCTGCTGAAGAATCGCCCAGGATTGTTTAAAACCAAGCAACCGAAGGAGATTCTTTCCCGGAAAAGTTGTTTCCAGAGAGAACACACACAGAGCCGGCCTTCCCTCTGTTCTGCCCAACTCAGCCGCTAGAACGAGAGAGGGGAATGTCAATTTATCTTGCTGTTGCCGGCTCCCTTCACCTCTGTCCCTCTCTGTTTGGCATTAACTCACCTCGGGGCCTCCCTGAAGACAGGATGGGTTTGGAGAGAGACACAACTTGCGGACTTTGACATGGGTTTGTGTCCGTCTTTTGTGGCATCTGCCTGTCTGGGATTGAGGCTGCCAGTTTTGGCTTGCAAGTCTGATGCAAACTGTGTGTTTCTTCCCTCACAGATAGATAGGGCTGCAAACTTGAATTCCTAGTTTCATGAGCCCCCCAAAAATAAATACTTTAAAGGTATCTTAAAGGCGAACGGATTTATCGTAGCGGAATCTTTTGTGGACTAGAGTTTTTCTGGAATTAAAAATATTTAGTTGATTAATCTGTGGAAGCCAGAATGTAATTGCTAGGACTGTGCAGTACTCATAGCACAGAATGAAGATATATTTCAGGCGGCTTTGCTCCCAGATCTGAACGATGGGCTTCCTGGGAATGTGGATGCAAACCGGCATCTATTCTCAACGAAACTGTGAATTAAAATTAAATCGTAAATTTTTCTTGCATTTCCTTCCCTCTCTCAGCAAGGGCCCTATCTGGAGGTTGTTGGGTGGTTGTTGTTGTTTTTTGGTAACATGCACCTTTGTGTAAATGCAGTCGGTTCATTAGTCGATCTGTTGGTTCAAAGGCAGGCACTTCATTGGCTGCCTTCTCCAGGATCTGATGTGGTTTCCAACATGAAAAGCTCTTCCTCTTTCATCTTGAGGTCCAGAATAGCTAAGATGGGGGGGGGGGAAGCATTTCCCCCTCAGTGGCAATGTGGCAGAAAACATGTAGGTGTGTGATGACAGGTAGATTTCGCGCAACATATTCCTAAGTGCAGGTTTTCTCAGGATCTATTGCTGGTCCTTACCAGTGTTTCTCAGCCGAAAGAGAGCCTTACAGTTTTATTGCCAAAACATTCTGGCTAGAGATGTTACCTTGAGAGAACCCAAGGCCGGAACAAGGCCGGCCTCTGCTATCCAAACACAAATCTTCTGTCCGTAGCCCCACAAACTTGACTGAGACTAACCTCAGTTGCTACTTCAAATGTCCCACGCTTTCAAAATCATGAAACCCTCTATATCGATGGCCACATGTGAGCCTTTTTGCACATATGTTTCTCTGTGTACACGTGACATACAACCTTAGGGAAACGGGCATGTAAATGCAACAACAGAGATGCTCATCTGATCACACCACTCGTGACAAATTATGAGATGGCGTGCATGCTGTTTCCTGTCTGTTCTGCCACCACTGAGAGATCATAAAAAAAACCCTGCACACACATGTTCAGGAAATATTTATACCATTTGGGGAAAACTCCATTTATTTTTGTCCTCTGTCATTAACAAGAATTTGAAATTTACACCACCCAGAAGCATGAATGAGCATGAAAAAGACCCCACGGAGGCACTCCAGAAATGGGATATGCAGAATACTTCAAAGGGCAACGTAAGGCCAAATCCAATGTCCAGACTAGTTTGGCAGAGTTCATTTCTGCGGACCCAAACAAAGTTGTGTTGACGTTGAGCCTGTGGTTGATAAACTTTCCCAGAAGCAAACTGACTGCCAACCGCTATTTGTATTTGCCTACAAAATATAACCAGATTGTTCTGGGCAAAACTCGTATCCCGAGAACCATTACGTGGGCATCTTGTTAAAAAAAGCAAGCTCTCTAGTCCTTAAGACTGTAAAGAAAAGTTGAGAAGCGACACTTAGTTAATTCTTTGGAGCCGGAGCTTTGGATAGGATCGGGAGATAGGATTGGGTCTCCTTCTCCATTAATTAATAGAAATATTTAAAATAGGTGCAGAGAGGCAAACATGATGAAGGCCGCAGAATCCAGCTCTTCGGAGTACAGAATTTTGGACCGATTTCACACAAGAGCTGCGCCGTGGTCGGGCCTCCCTTTGCCCCGCTTCTATTGGTCAATTTCCCACTCGAAGCCGCGTGGCTGCATTTTGACCCGCGGCTTTGCCCGATTTTCCCCACGGTTTCATGATCCTGTTTTTTGAGGATCATGAAACTGCTCTGAAAATTGCCAAATGTGGGTTGGGCCACAAGCTGTGTTCTGAAGAGATCTCCCTTTCTACTTGCGTCTGATGAAGAGGGGCTTTGACTCTCAAAACTT